AAGAGCGCAGCAGCCGTTGGTGGTAGACTAGCTTGACTATGTTGGGTTGGCAAGCGTAAAGTTTTCGGTGCAGCAGAAGACGCAGCCAGTGAAATGTTCTTCATGAGGATTGATATCGCGTCTTCGATATCCTCTGGGCTGTTAATTTCGACGTTCAGGTTAATTCTTCTTTCGAGATCGGCTTTAAAAACATCAATACGGGAGCCAGGTGGTAGAATATATTCCCTCTTGGGATTATATTGCGGTGCATGATGTAGCGTCGCTACTACTGGAAGGTGATCCGATGCGAGCTCATATTTTGTTTCAACGGTGAGTCTGTTTAGGGCAATCCTGTTGACAATAAAGAAGTCTAGTGCAGAGGGGTTAAGTCGTGTGTTGTAAGAGTAGAAAGTTGGCTCTCCAGTAGCAAGAACTTGGCAAGTAGTACTAGCTATGGCCTCTTGCAAACACCTTCCTCGCCTGCAAGATCTGGAATTACCCCACCATTGGTGTTTTGCATTAAAATCACCGCCTACAATAAACTTATCTCCTAAGGTTGCAAGCAATAGATCAAAGTCGGCCCTGCACCAAGCTTCATTGGGAGGAAGATATAGGGAGGAGACTTTGATGCTTCCACCATTCGTCGGTATAGTTACGCTGACCGCTTGGATGCTTGTTTTTAGAATTGGCTCATTCTGTGAATGAGCGATACTTGATCTAATGATGACTGCAGAACCACTTTTAGCGGTGCCACTAGGATGATTAGCGTAGTACTGGTCGTATCCTGGCAAATATGCGTTCAAGCCAGGACGCATATGCGTTTCGGTTATTAACATGATATCGATCGAGTTTGAACTTAGGAAAAGCCTGAGTTCATCATTGTTTTTGACCAGGCCCCGAAGCACATATGTTATACAAATTATTAGTTTTGTGACTGGCGAGAGAGAGTGTGTGGCAAGTGTTTTCCACAGAAGTATGCGTGGAATTTTAAGTGTTCCCGTGAAAAATTATATAAACGTGTCGTAAATAAAAACTTGTTGCTGAAACATTTAAACGCATGTTGACAACCGAAGCATACAGAAAAGTATTTCAAAACAACAAAAATTCCATCGTTGACAGTTTGAGTTTGGCAACAAAACATTGGACATGGGATTTAGTTAAAATTTTGGGTAAGTAAAAAATTAATTTATTTATTTAATTGAGTTTCGTTTTGTGTCAATGTTGTTGTTTGTGTAATTGCGCAAATTATTTGTTTAGTCTACTTTTTGATTGCCCGCACAGCAATTTGACTTTTCACCCAAAGAGCGCGCCTTTTTTTATTATTACTGTCGTTTGCTTGGGGTAGCCGCACAAATAGCAACAAATGGAAACTAACGTATTGTTGTACAGCCAATTTGCGTTGCATGCACACACATACACACACACACACACACACACACACACACACACACACACACACAAACATGAATATTAGTATATATGTATCGCATTTATGTGCTCGCAGTCAATCGTTCAATTATAAACAGTTTTATGTTGTTGTCCCCTCCCCATAGTGGCTTGTAGCTTATAGCTCGCAGCTCTTGCCTTGCACATGTCATAAATTTTTATGGTTTATGCCCAAATTGAAAGCAATGTTTGTGCACGAAAAATGCTCATTTATTTACACAAAAACAAATAATTGTTCATCCCAATTCCAATTCTAGAACCAAGCAGCCACCGCAGCTTTTCCATGAAAATTTCATGCCGTTGTCTGCCATTTCCATTTCCATTTAATGTACGAGTACATATTTTCTTGCCGCGCGTAAACAAACAACACAGCATTCTAAGTTGCACACTTTTTGCTCCCACTGGGCCTACTGCTCTTCTTCTCACGATGGGTGGGTGGTATAGCCGGGTGTATTGGGGCAGACGGGTGTCTAGTCAGTCCGATCGCTCCGGTTCTGTTTTGTTGCCTTTGGCAGTCAGTCAATTGTTCTGTTCTGGTCTGTTCAATTTTACTTTTTCAGCTGACGGCGCGCAAAGTGAACTTCTCTTTGTATTTATAAATTTGTTTAGCTTTTTGTTTCGCTTTTCTCTGAACTGTGCACACCTCTTTCACGACGGCAGGTTGTATCGATAAAGTAGAGCAAAAAGTATATTGAATGCAGCCGATTGTGGCTTATCTCAGTGCTTTTAATAGTTTTTCTAAAAAGTAGCTGCGTTCGCACAGTTTTTAAATTAGTTGAATAAGTAGAACAAGAAAGAGGAGCTCACTGTATAAGTCTTTCCTTTTGTATATAATTTATTTAGCTTCTAACTGAGATATAAGATAGTGGCAATGTTTCTTTCTTATTCTCCAACTGGTGCCTTAAGTTTGAGTAAAAAACAGGGACTTAGCTAGGAATGCGTTATTTTTATCTTCATGTAAAAGTAAGATTAGAATGCAGCTAATAATATAATTCGTTTTAGCTTCGAATTTGAAACAATCCATTGCCTTTACTCAAAAGAACATTTCATATTTGACGGGTTTTATAGACAAAAGATCTCTTAAATTTATGAACAAACAGGTGTTTAGCTAAGAATTCATTAATTTTAATATTATTTAAAAGGAAGATTAAGATGAACCTAATAATATGCATATACTTGTAAACAGAAAAACTGTGTAAATTCCTGGTGGCCTTTCCAAATTTTGAAAAATAAAATAAAAGGGTGGTATTGATACTTTTATATACGTTTGAAATATTTATGCATATTACTGTAACCAACTCTCAAATACGTTTCTACTTTTCAAATATATTTTATATACAATTTGAAGCTGCAATCTTTCCTCATATGGGGTAAAAGGGAAACTGGATCCCCCCCAGTAACCTTCACGTATTTATGGAAATAATTCTCATGCCAGGGAATTCAACGAACCATTCTAAATTACACACACGTGCCCCCAGTATTGTTTTCAAGTGCTCAACACAATTGGGCAGTAAAAAGTGTGAATATTTGTGATGAGTGCTCGAATCGAATTGAACTTGAAAACCTCGATTCCTTACATATTTAGCTTGCAATTTCGGTTGGTTTGTAAACAAACAAATATTGAATTCATTTATTTGCTATTTTGGCATAGACCGGAAATATATACATACTATATAGGTACATATGCGTGTCGAGAACTGTTGCTTTTGGCACAAAGCAGGTGAAGGTTTTGTGCAAAATATTTACTGCTCTAGATATCCAAGGACTTTGTAGAAAACTTTTTTGTTTTTATAAATCGTTAATGTACGAGTAGGTTGTATTTAAAAGGTCTATTGGTGTGGACTTCCAGGAACACAACTCTTTCATAAATCTTTCCAAAAGGCGCACTCGCGCCCCTTCCCGTCATTCCAATGACAATTTCCAGAGACGGGACGCGTCTGTGCAACATATGTGGCACAGAGAACCGGCAACCGTTCGACCCTGCCTTAGGTAGCTATTGACGATCATGATGATGAAGAAGTTGAGGATGAGTCCACATGTAAAGTAAAGACAACAACTGCAGTCGGTTGAACAATATTTGCCCTTGTGTTTTGTTTAGTGTGGGGCTTGGGTCGGGCCAGTCGTCGTCGTCAAACAATTTTTGTTTTAATTTCTTTAATTTTTCTACGTGCCTGTCTGCTGTGCCGCCGCCTCGTCACAGATGTGGGCTGGAAAGATTAGCGCGAGCGTTTTGCTCTGCCCACATGCCCATTGGCAATGGTGTATCTTTTAATTAAGCGAGAGGCAGATGGTTTGCTCTATACAGAGCAGAGTCAGTGCAGAGAGCGCGCAAGTGAGAGAGAGGGAGAGAGTAACGGATAAACCATCGAGCGTGTCACGCATATGTGAAAAATTAAGGCTACCGACCGTTGCTGATGTGCTGATGTGCCGATGTCGGAGTCGATGTCAATGCTCAATGAAACTGAAAAAAACATGCGGGATGCAAAGTAGAGATGTGCATGGGCTGTGTTTTCGTTTGCGATCTCGTGCGTGATCTATTGTGAAAAGGTAGAATACAAAAATAGCACGAATAAAAAAAAAACCGAAAAACAACTATTGTTAGTAATCCTCTATCAATTGTTGTACAAAAGAGGATACGTGCTTTTAGCAGAAAAAGTCAAATAAGTTGTGCTGGATCTAGACACAATTAGTGTTTTAAACGAAAATGGTTGTCTGATTTTCTTATAAGTTGACAAATCTAGAGAGAAGAATTTGTGAAGAGCTGTTGATTATAACTCTATCAATTCGGTATCAATCAATTGTACTGGATCTAGACACAATTAGTATTTTAAACGTAAATGCTTTTGAGATTTTGTCATAATTAATTAAATCTAGAGAAAAGATATTTGTGATATATTTACATATGCTTGCTTATAATATAAAATTCCAATGATTGCGATAAGATATTATTAAAACATCAGCTATACATGAAAACAATGAGTTCAAATGCTTCAATAGATAAAAAGTGAATTAGATTCAAAGATTCTACTTCAATTCTTAACTAAACCTTAAGCACCAGTTCTGCTAACGGCAGAACAATTTATTTAGCAGTTATTCAGGTTCATGTCAGGGGTTCGATTTTGTAAGCATTATCCTTCTTTCATTCGTATACCCACAAGCCTCGTGGTGGGCTGTGCTGCAATGCCTCGTGTCGTGTCGTGTCGCGTACAAATAGGCCGTCCCATGTCCATCCCTAATGCAGAGGCAACGACTTTTTGTGCCGGGCAAAAATACCATCAGAACATCAACGGCAATAGTCGCAACAGCAACAACAACATCAGCATTAAATGTAACGGCAGAAAAAAGAAGAAAATATATGCTGTTGATCGTCGACTAAATTGACGCGTCGGCATTGCCCGGGCGCAGACGCACTGAGTAGGACGCCGGAGTGTTTTATTTCGAGTGTAGGAGCTGGCAGTGGTGCACTCTCTTTGTCTGTTTTTGAATTTGGAACAGTTTTCGAGCGGCACTGTGGAAATTCAGTTCGCGGACGCGGATACCAGAAACTGTTCTGCAGGCTCACACAAACACGCACACACTATATTGTAGAAGTGTGTGTAGTCCATGAAAAAGTGCTGTGCAAAAAATAGAAAATGTTTCCGAAAGTAGCCAAATGAACTACAGTGCGAAATAAGTACGAATATACTCGTATAGTATATACTATACATATGTAAAGTAAATAAAACTGTATGCGGGTGCCTAAAATTCAACAAAAATAATATAAAAACGAACAGTTTGTGCGGCGATTTCTGCTAAAGGTTTGACAAATTGAATACAATATTTTAATAGCCACACTAAATAATACACACAAGAATTGATTTTTATGGCATTTTGCATTTATATTAGTCAGTATATTCTTTTGGCCAGCCATAAAGTTATTTAACAAAAACAAAGAAAGTGAAATTTATGTGAAGCACAAATAATGTAGCTCATGACAATCTGCTGCCAAGTGTTTCCATTTGATCAACCAATTGGGCACGCGCTACACAATAAGTCGCCGTCTCCTCAAAACAAGTTCAACAAGCTACCGGAAATGTGCGCGACATTTTAATTAAGCTTGCAAATTGCGAATGGCTTTTAATCAAAACACAAAAATCTCAGTAGATACAACGAAAATTGGCTTTAATTGCGACCAAAAAAAAAAAAAGAAGAAGAAGAAGAAAAACCGAAAAGATAAAAAGAAATTGGCTCAACAAACAGTTTCTTGAATGAATAATATAATATATAGAACAGTATATGATAAATATAACCTAGAGTGTTCTGACTAATGTCCGACTCTCCTACATACTAGTATATTGTTGTTGTTTATAAACAACGCCAATTTTAAGTTAAACACTCAGTTCGCAGAAATTTCACAGTTAGTGCAAAATGCAGAAACATTTCAAAATAGCTGCGTGAACACTTTCCGGTACTTTCGAACGGCGCAACTGATGTTAAAGATACAAATACACTGTTGATGAATATAGATAAATATACATACGATTTATCAATTTATATACATATATGTATACATAAACACACACATCCAGTTGGGTACAGCAAGTGCGTTCAATGGCCGGTGAATGGCAAACGTTTGTCTCCCCCATTTGGTGCGTGTAATGCAACGGGAGCATCGTCATTATTACCATCATTTAGGGTAAATATACCCATAGATACAGATACAGATACACTTGTTAGGCCACAGATGCGACGATTTTGCTCTCCACGCTATTTCAAGTACAGTGCTTGGGGTGAACGTTAGATGGATTAGGTGTGTGTGTGTGTGTGTGCCAATTGCAGTGATTTTTATATCTATAATTGGAAAATGGGAAAGAGGGCAGGGAAGATAGACGAAAGGGTCTCGATCAACATAATCGTCAACTGAAATTGAGGAATTATAATTCAGAATTTTGTAAAAAGAAATGATTTTATAATGATGTTAGCACCATATCCATCCACTGATTTATTTAAAAAGAAAAATAGTCCGTAAGCAGTATTCATCTTATATTATATTGTAAACAAGGCCTAAATTTGTATAGCACCGAAACTTTTACTGTACAGTTTTCATTCTTATGATTTGTGAAGCAGAATAATCTACTGTGGTCTCATTTTTCAAATATTTAGAATATTTTTGAAATTTTGTGTATGTTTATAAAAGTGTTAGATAGATAGGTAAACTCTTTTATAGGGACGATCGAATAAAAACTGAAATATTGTGCAACAAAAATATTGCTTTAAGAAGCTACTCCAAAGGCTAAATCAAGCACTTTTCCTTAACTTTCAATCTATAAATTTAATTAAAACAGACTTGCAATTCTCCCAATTGAATAAATATAAAGAAAATACATTTTTAATTTAGTTTTACTTTGTTTGCTGGTTTTAAAAATTAAATTTGTTGAAAAAACTTAATTCTTCCCTGCCTACAAAATTCTGTGTCTGTAGCTCCAGTGCTTTTCGATATCCTTACTTCCAAACAGTCAAATGGGTATACAGACAGGACTTTTCCTAAGCACTGTGGTGTGATAATAAATGTATATTTAAACTGGTACTATAATTGCATTAATTATTGTTACTTATTTTGGGAAAATGTATTTTCTTTTCGCTTCTGAAATCCACTCTTCAACAAAAAAGTGATCGAATTTCGATGCGCTATATTAGTAAAATAAATTTGCCCCGAAATGTTGCATGCTTTAATATGCCATGTTTTATGGTGTAGTTTTTAGATACTTTGCTTGTTTATGATCGCCGGATATGTACATAAATCTAATCGTATGTATTTTCCAGGTGTCGCATTCCCCTCCAATGCCAAATGGGGCGTCAACATCAAAGATTATGTGCGGCAGCTAAACTAAAACTCTAAGAGAACTCTGCTCTGAATGATATATGAAGTGGGACGTCGCCCACAACATACACAACATACACAACATACACAACATACGCGACAGATGCGCCGCCTCTACTCGTATTCTGATGATGAGTATCATCATCATTAACAACAGCAACAAGAACAAGAGCAACAAGAGCTTTATAATCAAGGCTGGTGACACCTCAACCAAAACATGGCTGCCATAAATCCATCAACTAGCCAAGTAAATCACAAGAGCGCCAAACAGCAACAATAATTAAAAGTCATCAGCGCGTATTGTGAAGTATTTCCGTTGCAAGGTGATCTCTGAGTCTGAGCACAAACACACATCAAAAGGAGGCGCAGACAAACACATGTTGCTGGCGATCAAAAAATCGGAGTGGGGGCAACTACTATTTCAATAATTAGAAACTTCAAGCACCCTCGCAAACCAAGAGATAATAGAGACTGGCAGCGAGGGGGAGAGAGAGAGAGAAAGAGCGAGCGATCAAGATCGAGAAGTAAAAGTGGATTTCCGGTGAATAAAAAACGAAACTGTAGCGTACACAGCATCCGTGCAACACATGCGACAAACGTTGCAGTTGCATTGAAGCTGTACGTACGTACCCCTTGAGAGTGGCGAGTGCCACTAAGGCGCCCACAACAGAGGGCACACACAGTTACAAAAATAAATACACACACCCAGCACATGCCACTGAAAATGTTGTGGCCCGACAGTCCCTGGAAAACCGTTGGAAGCAGCGGACACAGACACAGTCGCCTGACGAGCAGTTGCCACACAAATATGCCGCGACATTGCAGACAAGTGAAAGTATTGGTATTATTTTTTTTTCTGATGCTTCATACGAATTCAGTACTTGGGCTAAGACCGCCAGAAACTTCCCACGAGCTACGCATGAACTTTCGTAATATATACATCAGACGCATTCTAAGGTCCGCCAGTACTACTGTTGATGATGAGACAGAAAATACGGAAGTGGACTCACCATCTATTGCCGGATCTGCGCAAAATATCAGCAACAGCAACATTGTAAAAGAGTTTCCACCTAGTTTTAAGAATCCCAAGGCCTTGCGCCCAATCTTGCCATTACCATCAGGCACCTCCGTAAACCTGCCCTGCCCCGCCCTGGGCAAACCTGAACCGAACATCACCTGGTATCGCAATAATACCGCCAACTGGTCACGCACCTACGGTCGCAAACGTCAGAACAAATGGAACCTGCTCATGGACGACCTGGTGCCAGAAGACACCAATATGTACACCTGTCGTATTTGCAATCCATTGGGTTGCATCGAGCACACCACATCGCTGGTGATCAGTGATCGTGTGAATCACAAACCCATTTTGCTGAAGGGACCCGTGAATATCACGCTGGTGCTGAATAGCAGCGGCTACATGGAATGTGAATATCTGTCGGACTTAACCAGCGTGAAGGCCTGGGCCTTCACACCCTGCCAGAGCATGACCAACTGCTCGGCGAATCGCAAAATACTTGAAGATGTCGCAGATGTCGACCGCTTGGAATTCGTAAATGTCACACAGGACAAGGAGGGTTGGTACACCTGTATGGAGACGAATAGTCTGGGTCAGTCGGTCAGCAGCGCCTATTTGCGTGTGGTGCGCAGTCTGAATACGAATGTGGCGAGTGTGGTGCGTGGCAACATGATGATGATCATTGTGATCGGAGTGATCGGCCTGCTCATCATACTCTGCATTCTATTTGTGATCTATGCCGTGCGCAAAATGAAGCACGAGAAGCTGCTGAAGCAACGCATCGAAACCGTGCATCAGTGGACCAAAAAGGTTATTATCTACAAGCCCGCCAGTGGTGGGGACTCTAGCGGTTCCATGGACACCATGATCATGCCCGTGGTGCGCATTGAGAAGCAACGGACTACGGTGTTGCAGAGTTCGAATTGCGAACCGGCACCCTTCAATGAGTACGAATTTCCGCTGGACTCCAATTGGGAATTGCCTCGCAATCACCTCATCCTTGGCGCCACCCTGGGCGAAGGTGCCTTCGGCCGTGTGGTCATGGCTGAGGTCAACAATGCCATTGTGGCTGTTAAGATGGTCAAGGAGGGACACACAGATGACGATATTGCCAGTCTGGTGCGGGAAATGGAGGTGATGAAGATCATTGGCAAGCACATCAACATTATTAACTTGCTGGGCTGCTGCAGCCAAAGTGGGCCGCTCTATGTGGTTGTGGAATATGCGCCGCATGGCAACCTCAAGGACTTTCTATACAAAAATCGTCCGCTATGCAAGGAGCAGGATAGCTCGCAGCCGCCACGTCCGCCACCAGAGCATGTCATCACCGAGAAGGATCTGATCAAGTTCGCCCATCAGGTGGCACGCGGCATGGACTACTTGGCCTCACGTCGTTGCATTCATCGCGATCTGGCCGCTCGCAATGTCCTGGTCAGCGATGATTTTGTGCTGAAAATTGCCGATTTCGGACTGGCTCGGGACATACAGAGCACCGACTATTATCGCAAGAACACAAACGGTCGTCTGCCCATCAAATGGATGGCTCCCGAATCTCTGCACGACAAGTTCTACGACTCGCAGAGCGATGTCTGGTCCTACGGCATCTTGCTGTGGGAAATCATGACCTATGGCGCCCAACCCTATCCCACAATCATGTCCGCTGAGGAGCTCTACACATATCTCATGTCCGGCCAACGCATGGAGAAGCCTCCCAAGTGTTCGATGAACATTTATATACTCATGCGCCAGTGCTGGCATTTCGATGCCAGCGCCCGACCCCCCTTCACGGAAATTGTCGAGTATATGGACAAGCTGCTGCAGTCCAAGGAGGACTATCTGGATGTTAATGTCGGTAATCTGGAGACTCCGCCCTCCACCAGCGATGAGGAGGAATCCGATGCGGAAGAATCGTTGCGCTATCATTTTCACTATCAGTCATAAGCAAAACCAAAACCAGTGTCTTGTACATAGTTTCCCCGCATATCTATTATAGATCTTCTGTTGGCATACGAGTATTTCTTTCAGGTATTGTAAGTTCTGTAAACTAGCCCTGCTGAAAAGGAAAAACGAAAATCAAATTTGCACCAAAGGCGTAAACCAAAAATTAGTTAACATTAATCCAGCGCAGTAGTATAGACTATATACTATATACGAATAGATTTAAGTTAATTAAGTGGTTATACATGCTAAGGATTAATTTAAAATTTATTATACTTGACTTCTTCAATTTTATCTAGGAGTTAAGTCGATCAATATAATAACATTTACATATCATCACAGAAGGTGCGTTCCAAATCAAATATATTTAGTATTTTTATTCAGAATTGAGATTGTGCTCCAATCAGGCTTTATAGGCTAGAAAGCAGCGCTCGAGGGATAATTTCACAGAAAACCTCTCTCTTTTATATGTTTTTTTCAGATTTCATTTGAAGGCGTTTTAGTGTATTGTTTACTTATGTCATAAAAAGGTCTCACATGAGTGCAAAGTGATAGAATTTTGTAGAACTTTGAGCTTCAATAAGCTCCATTTCTGATTTTTGATCATTTATTTGGTAATTATTTGGTAATAAGCTAAAAAAATTAGCAACATTAGCTATTGCTTTGACAAAATCTTTGGTAATTGGAGATAATTTTCTAAAGGTTTTCAAAGGTTAAACGTTTCTTTATTGTTCTGGTGTAAATTCCCTTTTGGACGCCATTGTAAAAATTAAACAATAGGAAAATAGTATTTGCCTTTAAACTGAGTTTTGCTTACCTTCTTACAATAGCCTTTCTTCAGACTATAAATTACAATAATTAAATTTAATTTTACACTCCGGCTTTGAAATTTGCAGAAAAAAAATAACTGAATTATTTTGGAGCGCATCTTTTTTGTCATCACAAACATAATAAATATAAAACCTGAATTATTAAGTTAGTTTTTAGGTGAATTATTTGCTAGCTCGGTTGTATTTGTTGTATATGTACTGTGTATTAACGACTTTTAAATTGTATCTTTATTTATGAATATGCATATAATCGATCTAAGTTGCATGCCTCGAAGTGCCATACACGAAATAAATGTTGTAGGTTATTCATGCCCCAAAGCGAATTTTGTTTCTCCTGCGATTAAGTGTTTGTGCCCTCTAGTTAGGCACGAATTATGGTCTGGTCGGAGAGATCATGACGTCTTAATTTTGGAAAATCTGTGAACGAAAAAACGGTATAACACTTGCCAGATTTGGAGCGCACGAGGCACGCGCGTCACTAAGCGAATAGCAACAGCAACAACAACAAGAACAACCAAACTAATGGAAAAATGATGAATGAAGCGCGACTGCTGCTGAAATGGTGTGGGAAGGTGCACGAAGCGACAACAACTACAACAATTGTCGATGGTGTGCTTGGAAGAGAGGGGGTGGGGAGGCGGCTCGTTTGTTGACGCGCGTTAAATGCCACAAGCGGTGGTGGCGGCGGTGGCGAATGCAGTGGCTGTTGCAGCAACAACTGCGATGCAATTAGGCGATAATGCAGCAAAAACAGAAACAAAAAATTTTAAATATTTTTTCCATGCACTGCGGCAATTCTCATGGCCAGCTAGAGAGGGAGCGCGGAGTGCGTGAGAGAGTGGGGGATGGGTGGTTGGGTGGGTGGGGAAACTGCAATTGCAACTTATTGTTTGGGCTGGGCGCCATAGCCGGAGGGGGCTTGTCGGCACTTTTGCGGCCCCTTTTGCTGTGATTGCCACATTTGTAAATTTAATTTATTTAAGCTCAACATTTTATTGTAGTGGCAGCATTTTAAATGAGAATTAACGAAAACTTTTATGATTTCCAATTTTTCCTCTGCTGTTTTTTTTCTTTTTTGTTTTACGGCTTTGCTTCTTTTTATAAGCATATATATATTTTTTGTTGTTGAGCTTTCTTCGCCTGGTAGATCATTAATATTGTGGCATTACAAAGCACATTAAAAGAGCTGCCAACGCAATGGGGCTCCAATGATTAATCTGCATAGCTTTTGTCTATGGCACACGCTAAACTGCATTTTGATAATTTATCAACGAAAACTTGAAGGCATTAAAAATAACAACAGCCCCACTTCGAGGAAAAGGGTACAGACAAAAATTGTTGCTGTTGTCGATTGTGTGTTTATTAATTAAGGCAACAAATAAAGTTTTCCGTCATCACTCGGTCGTGGGTGTGGGCGTGGCTTTCGAGATGCGCTAACGATCGGAAGTGCCTCATGTGGCCAGTTTGACACGTGGCTAGTCGTGGGCCGATCCGATCCGATCCGTTGCCTATAATGCATGGTCGTCGCCTTTTGCAATTAATGCATGAATATGTTAATTGAAATTTGTTGAGAGATTAAAAAGGCATAATGTCCGATTCATCAAAGTTCATATGGCCTGGCCGAAGTACTCATTTATTTTAAGAGAGTTGTGCAATGTTTAGTTCGCTTTAATTATATAACTGCTTATCTTGACAGCACACGATAATGCATTATAAATATAAAAAGTTGACTTGGAAAGAACAACAGTCCCCGTGTCGTCGGATATCATAGGATCGATTTGAAAAATAATGCATTAATATTTGTTGAAAAATAAATATATCCTTTTTGTATGTGCTTTAAATATTTCAACAGAAATATCTGATTGATAATAAAACTATTTTTGTTAATATCTCTAAATAGCAATATATGTTGAAAAATGGAGTTGAAGCTTTTTTGTCAAGGCTTAAAAATATAACTGAAATATTCAAGATAATATTTTCTTCAACTACCATAATAATATTTTGTGTGATGAAACAATGTACTTTTATTTTCCTAAATTCAATTTAATTGCAAGAAACCCTTTTTTAAATTCGATAAATATGTTCTATTGTAATTTTTCCTTACAAATAGTTGTTTGATTTGATTTTTTTTGTACATAATCATTTAAATTGTTTTAAAATAAATTAGTTCCTATAAAAACAAAATAAAATTTTTATGAATCTATTACAATTTGGGAACCTATTTCAAATTCTTCGTATTTTCTGTTCTATCTTAAAACCTATCTGGCATAGGCTACAAAATTCCGAAGGCTTGTGCGTCGACTAACTCAGGAAGTCTGTGGCCAAGTCATAAGATCTGTTTTAGCCTAATTTGCGGGCATTTTGCGTGCATAATGTTAGTGGATGGAACGGCTTGGCTGTTTTATTGCCGCAACCGCAACTGTTGTTCGGACCTGTCTCGGGTGATCAATTAATTTTGGCTAAAATCAACTTGGACCATTAATTTGCATGCGGTTTTCTGTTTTCTGTTGTTTGTTGTCTATGCTTGTCGATCGCTCGATGGTTGTGGTCGATTGAAGGCGGCTGTGGCTCGGACGTGTTTGTTTTGGGCCAGGTTGCTGCTGCTGGCACAGGTTGTCCGAACCGAGGTTTGGGCCGTTTGCGTGGCTGGCATGTTTTGTGCGATTTGTGAAACCATTTTAAAAGTCTACAAATTGCCTGTCTAACGGCTGACTGGCCGGCCATTCGATCAGCCGATTGCTGCCCAGACTGTCGACTGTCTGCCAGTCAGCCAGTCAGCTAGTCAGTCAGTTAGCTGCCAAGCGAATCGATTGGCAAGCTCTGATTTGACCTCGTCAGACAGTATGGGCCTTTTTGGAAAGTTGCCGTTGGCTCTAAGTGAACTAGCACTTCTGACATAATTGAATTGTGTTTGCCATGTGTTGCTAATTTCATTTGCATTGTGGAATTCCAATTGTAAATTATACGATATGCTGTGTGCGCTCGTGCAGCGGAAATAATAAATTAATAACAATAATTTAAGCAGCATTTATTAATAAATAATACGCGTAATAGGCGAGCAGCTCATTTGCTTTGAATGCTGTCAGCTGTGGAGATGATTCAGGCCATTCAGAGAGCTAGTCAGCCAAGTGGCTAACAGATTTAAATACAAACGGAAATGTGAATCATATGAGCCATTAGATCTGCCTAAGATTTGGCATTTAAATCAATTCAGCGGAACTAAAGTCTTTGACAAGCCCATTGAGTTGTCATTAAAACATTAAAAAAAAGTTGCATGAGTAATGGAAATCATTCTGAAATGCGCCTCTAATGCAAATTTTACATTCATTGAGGCTTGAAAATTTCATTCATAAACAAAGTTTCAAAACAGCGATGCTGGCAGAAAAAACAACAACCAAAAACCGGTCGCCTCTTGCCATTTCAATCGTTTTTCAATGATCAAAAAACAGTTTTTAACGATTTTGTGTGATGTTTTTTTTTTACTACTCACTTGACTTGACTTACAAACTATGCAAATGTGCGCCGTCGCAACGTTCCAGTATGTGGGTAGAAAAATGGAAACAGAGGCTTGAGCCATGCCGAGATTTTTATGAATGAAATACGCTGGAGGTGACAACAACACGGGACATTAAAAAACAACGCCGTGCCGTCGAGCGGATGTGCCTAATTAACAATGTTGATTACATTTTCTGCATTATTAATTAGAAGTTTTATTTTTAGAGGTTTCTGCTTTCAATTTAAATGAGCGAAAGGAGAACCGAGCACCACGGCCGCAAAGTGGAAAAACTCGATTGAAAGAGTCGCCATTGCCAAAAATTATGAGGCAGCGGCAACATTTCACCATCCCGAAGATGAATTGTTAGCAAATGCAACCGCCGCAGCGGCTAATTCGTTGTCTGGCCTTATTGCCATCCCGGGCACATCCAATTTGGCCGGCCGCACTGTCCAAGCGCGCATCTGTCGGATTTGTGTACTCATTTTGGTCAATGCTGAAATTAAAAGAGGGCTTTGAATATTAATTGCAGCATCGGCTGCAACGACTTTAAGAGTGCACTGCATAGCATAGTGATCCTTGACATTATTTGTCTGGCACACTGCGTTGCTTTTATATTGTTGCACAACTTTGTGTTCAGCAGTTCCGCCTTGAATTTCAAAAAGTTTATTTGTCTGTACTGTTTTGCAGTTAATGCTTTACCTAAAGATTAATTTTAACTTTTCATAGAAAATATTTTGAAACTACCTTACTGACAGTCCGCGTAATTCCACAATCAGTTAAAAGGTTCAAGCAAAATAAAAGGTAGAATTTCGTATGTTTTATTTCTTTTTAACTTTATTGAAATGTTTTCTAAAATATAAACAAATGTGCGACCCCAATATACATATTTGTTCTCATATATATTTATTTTTTAATATTGTTTATTTTTTAAATTATTTAATATACCCCCTATCTTAAATTGATACATTTTGTTTAATTTTGTTTGAAGTTATTTGATTTCGTGTGATTCTTAAATAAGTTTTATTATAAAGAGTTCTACAGCCGCTGTCTGATTTCAAGTTAGCTGTGATATAGAATATAATCTAGAATTTATAGCTATATTTCATAGATGTTTCATTCTTTTCAGAAAGCTTTATTTAATTGAGAAATCATAAACTAAAAACCCCCTTTCAACCATCAGTGAAATAATACCATGATCTGCAATTAGAAAGCAATATGCCCTGCTGATTCAATGTAAGGGCTTTAAGCCAAAGATCGCCGCAGTCAACCTGCCTTCAACGGTTGTGTAGTTGGCCTGCTGCCGTCCTGGCTACTGTTAAACGCAAAATTTATGAACAATTTTCAAAAGAAGTCACGCGTTAAATGTACGACACAGACTCACGCGACATTCCCCGTGAGCTGGGCAGGAACTGGGGGAGCGGGGCGAGCGCAGATGATTTTTTAAACGTGTTGGCTGGTGCTGCCTGTATTGTGAATTGGCCTGGATTGGAGTCTGTGAATGGACTGCCTGCTAGCTGTGTGTTGTCTTGGCTGGCCAGTAGA